GAAGCTATAAAGGACTTGCAAGAGACCAACTCATCAGATCTCAACCAATACTTTTAAATTAATAATAGATATTTTCAGAAACCACTCTGAGTCACAAAAGACTTTATATAAAATTTCTATGATATTTATAGCTATCTTTAAGCTACATTAAATCATTGGAATTACCTATGCCTTCTTGAGGAATATTACTTTTGAACATGACCCAGCAATATTCTTACTGTGGAACCCCAAAACATAGTAAAGTAAAGGCCCACCCGTTGATCATCGATTTGCTCGAGTGGGCCCAGTAACGTCTCCACTGGAGACTTTGTTGTTACTGTGTTTGGCATATCAAATACATCACGGGGAGCTTGCCAGGCTCTGTCGTGCGGGCTCAATACTCGATACTCTCGGTAGCTTGCCGGGCTCTCCAAGAGGGGCGGAGGAATCGAACTCGGGTCGGCCATGTTGGCTGCGTGCAAGGCAAATGCCCTACCGCTGTGCTATCGCTCCTGCCCACAACAGATCTATCAAATGAGACTCAAAGAGCCAGAAGAGAATGAAGGGATATAGTACAAACACTTAACAAAATGAAATCTTCAAATACTCTATCCAGCTAGATTATCATTTAGATTTGAAGGAACAATATAAAGCTTCAGAGACAACAACAGCTTAGGGGATTTAGAGCCTTGAAACCAGGTTCACTAGAAGCTTTCAAGAACAGGATTGACTTCTCAGCACGTGGTACTTAGTATGACATTCACCATGGTGCCCTAAGCAAGTATGTTTCTTCCTAGCTTGTGAACTAATTTTATACATGTTCAGTAATCAACAGCTCATTTATAGTGACTATTCTATGTCTCATCAGTCTTTTATTGACACGCATTGAGATTTTTAGCTCAATCTCTTTATCAGACACTTAGGCAGTAGCTGTAAATAATGTTTTCTAACATAAAACCAGTATTTTTTTCCTTGGGATAGCGCAATTATCACTTTTTTAGGCATATTAAGATTTTCCTCCTTTAAATTTTCATGTTGACTCCTCTTTCACTAAATTCTACTGTCCTAGGTTTTACCTGTGTTGTCAACTCCAAAATATATTAGCAAGGAATTGTTTTAAAGTTTTATTAATAACGGAAAGACATGATTATTATAAAAATGAGACCCAAGCAGAAGTGCAATTTATTTTTTAAAATTTTTTTATTAGTGAAACACCATGAGGTACAGTTATAGACTTACAAATTGTTGTGCTTGTGTTTCAGTTATACAATGATCAAGTACCCATCCCTCCACCAGCACCCATCCTCCACCACCACGGGTTCCAACATCCCTCCCACCCCCCATCACCCCCATCCCACCTGCCTCTGTGGCAGGGCATTCCCCCTTGTTCTCTCTCTCTTATTTTGGGTCCTGTGTCTTGCAAGAGAGGCATTGAGTGGCAATCATGTTTGGTCTATAGTCTACTTTCAGCATGCTTCTCCCACCCTGGGAGGATCCTCACAACACCCTTTATTTGGTGCTCTCCTCTATCTGAGCTTCCTTTTCCCCTAGCACGTGAGGCTGGCCTCCAAGCCATGGAGCAAAATTCTTGGTACTAATCTCAGCCACTCCTTGGAGTTAGTCTCCCATTTTGTTGCTTTATGTTCCCCAGGGCTGGAGTGATAGCACAGCTGTAGGGCGTTTGCCTTGCACGCAGCCAACATGGCCGACCCGAGTTCGATTTCTCCACCCCTCTCGGAGAGCCCGGCAAGCTACCGAGAGTATCTCGCCCGCATGGCAGAACCTGGCAAGCTCCCCGTGACGTATTCGATATGCCAGACACAGTAACAACAAAGTCTCCAATGGAGACGTTACTGGGCCCGCTCGAGCAAATTGATGATCAACGGGAGGGCCTTTACTTTACTTTTCGGAGAGCCTGGCAAGCTACCGAGAGTATTCGATATGCCAGACACAGTAATAACAAAAGTCTCCAATGGAGACGTTACTGGGCCCGCTCGAGCAAATCGAGCAAATGTTCCCCAGATGAATGCAATCTTTCTGTGTCTATCCCGCTCTTTCTGACTCATTTCGCTTAACATGATACTTTCCGTGTAGTACCACTTGTATGTAAATTTCATGACTTTCTCTTTTCTAACAGCTACATAGTACTCCATTGTGTAAATGTACCAAAGTTTCTTTAACCAGTCATCTGTTCTAGGGGACTCAGGTTTTTTCCAGATTCTGGCTATTGTAAAGAGTGCTGCAATGAACAAACAAGTGCAATGTATTTTAGATACCAGAGTTGAAAATATATTAAGTCAGTTTAATTTCAATCAAAATGCTTCTATGTTCAAAACTAGAAATATTTATCAAAAACACATAATAAAAAATCAATTCAAATTAAGCTATTTTCCAAATTGGGATGACCAATAAATTTGCAATAATTTGGCCAAATTTTGCTTTCCATAGACCATAAGGGAAATATTTTATCAAATATTGGAATATTGTATGCATCAAACAACTATTATGATTTACTTTGTAAATCACAGTATTTGAATAAACATATATATAAAGGAATGAATTTATGCCGATATAGTTTAGACTTTTTAAGTAGTATTTTAATGTTTTCACTAGTCTTAAAGGAAGATCCTACAACTTCTCTGAGATGTTTAGCATATGTATCTTTTAAAAGATTATCTCAATTTTCTTATTTGACATTTCCAAGAGTCTAAAATTGTTATTTCTACTTCTCTCCTCTTTCACGTATCTTTCAAAAATTTTTTTCACTTTAATCAACATGGCACTAGAGAGGGGTATGAAAACTACTTTTCTCACTAGGTGATCCTTTCCTCTTATAGTATGTGATATTTGCACTCTGACATCTGTGTTTTAGTTTGTTTTGTTTTTGTTTAACAACAGCAAACAATACTTGTGTCATTAGCTGAGTATCCTGCATCCTTCTAATGCTGATATGGGGAAGTGCAGATGACACGAGGCAGGGGTTAATTTCCCCTCATAAGTGAAGGTACTAAATCCCCAAGTTGCTCAGAAATCCCATTCAGCTTGGCTACAACTCAGAGGTCCCTAGGTCCACACCTTCCCACATTCTGTGTTATTATTTGCCAAAAGGAGCACAGCACTGTAAATGTCCACTGACCATTTTATTACAAAGGATACAGGAATGAAGATGGGGAGAGAGAGAGATGTAGGGGAGGTGGGGGGATATTTCTCTTTGAATTGGTGGCAATTCTTGCCCCCTATGGGCTATGTTTTCACCAGCCTAGACTCTGTAGGAATGCCCTGATTTGTGAATTTAGGCTTCATCACTTAGGCAAGACCCTTCCTAGCTCAATTTTTAGCCCTTTGACCTTCCCCGACCATTTGGACATAGGACTGAAAGTCACAAGTTTCTAATGCTGTTTGATCTTTGATAAGATTACCACATCATCTTTTATTCCAGGCATAAGACATTGGGAAAAATCCTCGTTACACTATCTTATAGTGCCCTGATTTCCATCCACCTACTGACTAATTTTTCTTAGAAAAGGATAAATGGAAGAATACACTCTGGGTAGGCAGTTAGGTTAGTTTAGAGCACGGTGTTGGTAATTAAACACAAAAGATTCCAGCACATACCCATAGTGGTGAATGTGTAGTTATCATACTTCTAACTCTGAACTTACTCATATTAATAAATGTCACATTTCAATTTTATTTATTCTTTTGGTTGGGAGATTCTAGATCCATATGTTTTAAAATTTCATTTTCACTATTGCAAATTAGACTGAGCTGTTCCAATATGCAAAAGTGACAACTCATTCTTTGGAGATTGAAAAGAAAAAATACCAGTTTTTTTTATATCAATAGATAAAGGGTTTAACAAAGAATCTGCCATGCACTTATATTCATTTCAAACTGCTGAATTACTTTATGATTAAAATACCAAACACAGCCTGAAATAATGTGGATTAAATAGATCTCTGTTTGGGGATGGTGCAGTAACTTTTTGTGTCTGAAGCATAAATGGTATCCCTACTGTAAACCATTGGGCTGGAGCAATAGCACAGCAGGTAAGGTGTTTGTCTTGCACACGGCTGACCCAGGTTCAATTCCTCTGTCCTCTCAGAGAGCCCCCAGGCTACCAAGGGTATCCCACCAAGAGTATCTCGCCTGCATGGCAGAACCTGGCAAGCTCCCCATGGTGTATTCAATATGCCAAAAAGCAGTAACAAGTCTCACAATGTAAACGTTACTGGTGCACGCTTGAGCAAATGGATGAACAATGGGAGGACATTATTTGAGATAATGGGTACAGTTCAACTGTAAGTCATTATCTCAAATAATAATATAGTGAAAATGTTAAAGTAAATAGATATCCTCTCTTATGTGAAAAAAAAAAGAATGAGTCTAGGTAGGATGATTATGTGCTGCCTAAATCAATTTTTGAATGAAAGATGGGACCTTAGGAAAAGGCTAGAGAGGAATAAGGACATTTTGAAAATTCCAACTCTCTTTTAATATTTATTCTATTATACCTTTAACTATAATAATATATTTAAATGTCAACCAGTCAGACAGAAGCAACTTTTATGATAATTAACACTTTAAACTGAAGCTTTCCCTCTTACCTCTTTTAAAATAGTGATCTCACTAAATATTTATATATGTCTATTCTGGCAATATCAGACAGTTCTGTATTCTTGAGGAAAAGTTAAAAACTCCACCATATTCTGAGTCACTGCAGACATATTTTAAATATCCAGATATTGATATTTTGTTAGCATATTAAATCATTGTTGATGTGTTCCTTATATGTCAGCACATATGTATATACATACATGAATAATTATTTCGTTTTTTTCCTAGTCATCATTCATTTTTTTTCTCCTGTTTTTCAGATGATGCTTCAAGGATTCTACAACAATCCCTGACCTTGGACATATTCCAAATCTCTTTCATTTTATTATCCGGGTCCATCACCTTCCCTGCTTTAACTTGTTTGTGATCCCTTCAAATATATTTCATGGTTTGCCATGGTTACATGAACTTTTGGGAAGTGGTATTTGCACCATCTCATATTTTATTCATGAGGAACTAGACCAGAGCTGTAGAGGCTGCATTTATTTTTTTTAAAATGAATCTTATTGTGAAACTTCGGAGAAGCTTTCGAACATTGATTGTTCTCTTAGCTACCTTCTGCCTGGTGAGCATTGTCATTTCTGCCTATTTCCTCTACTCTGGCTTCAAACAGGAAATGGCTCTTATTGAAACCACTACAGAAGGAGAATGTGCTGACATCAAAGTTCTACCCTATCGATCAATGGAGCTGAAAACAGTTCGACCTATTGATACGTCTAAAACCAATCCCACTGTTCTCCTCTTTGTGGAGAGCCAATACTCTCAACTCGGTCAAGATATCATCGCTATTTTGGAGTCCAGCCGATTTCCATACCACATGGTCATTGCCCCCGGCAAGGGAGACATCCCTCCTCTTACAGATAATGGCAAAGGGAAATACATCTTAGTGATCTATGAAAACATTCTAAAGTACGTCAGCATGGACTCATGGAACAGAGAGCTACTAGAAAAATACTGTGTGGAATACAGTGTTAGTATAATTGGTTTTCATAAAGCCAATGAGAACAGCTTACCAAGTACACAATTAAAAGGGTTTCCATTGAACCTTTTCAATAATCTAGCTCTAAAGGACTGTTTTGTCAACCCTCAGTCACCTCTGCTGCATATTACCAAAGCCCCCAACGTGGAAAAAGGTCCACTTCTTGGGGAAGACTGGACTATTTTCCAATATAATCATTCAACCTACCAGCCAGTGCTTTTAACTGAATTACAGACAGAAAAATCAGTTTCATCCTTGTCCAACAAACCACTTTATGCCACAGTGATTCAGGACCTGGGGCTCCATGATGGTATTCAGCGAGTTCTTTTTGGCAACAACTTGAACTTTTGGCTGCACAAGCTCATCTTCATAGATGCCATCTCTTTCCTGTCAGGGAAGAGGCTGACATTGACCTTGGACAGGTACATTCTCGTAGACATCGATGATATCTTTGTTGGGAAGGAAGGAACACGAATGAATGTCAAAGATGTGAAGGTAAGAATATTTCTAAAATTGCATCATTTTTATTTTATTCAGTTTGTGGTATGAAGAAAATAATCAGTGTTGAATATTGTAGATTGCTGTCATTCAAAAAGCTTTGGACTCTGTAGATTTAAATGAAATATCAACGAAAAAATCTTGAATTAGGTCTTAATATTATACACATACATGTGTGTGCACATGCACACACACATAGACACACACACACACTTCAGATGCTTCAGAGATAGGAAAGACAAAATACATCCAAGGGCATATCGAAACAATCTTCATAATTTTCTGTCTTTCCCTTCCCAAGTAGAACCTCAATGAAACTGTTCTGTTTATTCTAGCACATTACAGTTTTCAGCAACAAGACTAATCCAGTCATAGAAATCTATTCTGAACTCATTTGCCTTATCAGCATTAGTTCAACAATCATGGCTGGAATGCAAGATTGTAAAGAAGCTCACTACCATTCGGTTGCCTCAAATAAGTCTAGTCTTATTTTTACAATTTTTTTCTTAGGGGATGTGCATTGGATTTGACCTCATAAGATTCCCATCACTGTGACTATTATTAGTTTGTTGTATTGTCTAGGATAACACATAAGTGTTACTGGTAACAATTTTGGGTAATGATAAAACTAAATGTATAACCATGTTACTATTCATATAAAAGCTAGGTAGGTGATTCTGAAAATATCCCTCCTTTTTTAAAAGAAATCTTGACTCAATATTCTCACTTATTTCTCTCTTGTTAAATTTATTCTATGCGCAAATAATTTTGAAAACAATAGTATACCACCTCTAAAGGGAGATAGATTGTTAAAACCATGACACTTCTTTGGGACTTCTGTTATTAAGCAGGATAAAACCTGGATATCACTTCAAAATAATTGCTTTTTCCCTATTCTAAAATCTTCTGAGCATAATAACAAGTATAATTAAAACAAGCAAAGTAAATTTACTTTTTAGGAAAAATTTTCACACTGCATGTAAACTGTTGAACTCTGCTTTCAGCTAACCACGGAAAGATGCACAATATAATGCAAATAATGCATTTTGGGCACTGTTTTGTGTGACTCCTCTTGTTTTCTTTGGCATAAAAATCTTATCTTTTTCTTATTATTTCTATATTCACAGTTCTTTTAATTTACATAACATCTTTCATCTTAATTTCAAAATCATAAATTTAAGAAGTAGTCACATGATTCAAAAAATTCCTGAAGTATTTTATTATCCTGAAACCCTAAAGAAGAAAGTATCCTAATTCTCATGTCATAAGCCACATAAAATCTAAAATATTTTTTATTTAAAAATTAATCCTGCTTGAGAATCGTCCATACTGTTTTCCAAAAGGGCTAAACCAGTCAGCATTCCCTCCAGCAATGAAGGAGGGTCCCTTTCTCGCCACATCAGCGCCAGCACCGGTTGCTTTTGTACTTTTGGATGTGGGCCAGTCTCTGTGGTGTGAATTAGTATCCCATCATTGTTTTGATCTGCATCTCCCTGATGATTAATGATGTAGAACATTTTCTCATGTGCCTTTTAGCCATTCATATTTCTTCTTTGAGAAAGTTTCTGTTCATTTCGTCATCCCATTTTTTGATGGGGTTGGATGTGTTCTTCTGGTGGAGTTCAACCAGTAATTTTATATATCCTTGATATCAACCCCTTGTCAGGTGTGTATTCAGCGAATATACTTTCCCATTCTGTAGAATGCCTTTGTATTTTGGTCACTGTTTCTTTCGAGGTGCAGAAGATTCTTAGTTTAAGATAGTCCCATTTGTCTATCTCTGTTTTCACTTGCTTGGCCAGTGGTGTGACATCTTTGAAGACACTATTAGCTTCATTGTCAAGGAGGGTTTTGCCCACTTTGTCTTCAATGTACCTTATGGATTCCGGTCTGATGTTGAGGTCTTTAACCATTTTGATCCTACTTTTGTACGTGGCGTTAGGAGAGATATATGAGCCCAGTTTTTTTCATGTAGCCATCCAGTTTTGCCAGCGCAGTTTGTTAAAGATGCTTTCCTTACTACACTTCACATTTCTTGCTCCTTTATCAAAGATTAGTTGATCATATGTTTGGGGGGAGATGTCAGTATATTCAACCCTGTTCCATCGGTCTGCTGCTCTGCCTTTGTTCCAGTACCATGCTGTTTTAGTTATTACTGCTTTGTAGTAGAGTTTGAAGTTAGGGAGGTTGATTCCTCCCATTTTCGTTTCCCCAAGAATTGCTTTAGCTATTCTTGGGGACTTATTGTTCCATATAAATTTCAGGAGTGTTTGCTACATTTCTTTGACCCAGCAATACCACTCCTGGGAATATACCCCGGAGAGGCAAAAGAGTATAGTTGAAGTGACATCTGCACTTGTTTGTTCATTGCGGCACTCTTTACAATAGCTAGAATATGGAAAAATCCTGAGTGCCCAAAAACAGATGACTGGTTAAAGAAACTTTGGCACATCTACACAATGGAGTACTACGTAGCTTTTAGAAAATATGAAGTCATGAAATTTACATAGAAGTGGTACTGCATGGAAAGTATCATGCTAAGCAAAATGAGCCAGAAAGAGAGGGATAGACATAGAAAGATTGCATTCATCTGGGGAACATAAAGTAACAAAATAGGAGACTAACTTCTAAGAATAGCCGAGATAAATACCAGGAGGTTTACTCCATGGGTTGGAGGCCAGCTACACGTGCGAGGGGTAAAAGCAGCTCAGATACAGAGGAGAGCACCAAATAAAGGGTGTTGGGAAGATCCGCCCAGGATGGGAGATGCATGCTGAAAGTAGATTATAGACCAAACACGATTGCCACTCAATGCCTCTTTTGCAAACCACAACACCCAAAAGGAGAAAGAGAACAAAAGGGAATGCCCTGTCACAGAGGCAGGGTGGGATAGGGGAGATGGGGGGTGGGAGGGATACTGGGACCCATGGTGGTGGAAAATGGGCACTGGTGGAGGGATGGTATTTGATCATTATGTAATTGAAACTCAAGCACAACAATTTGTATGTCTACAACTGTACCTCATGGTGTTTCACTATTAAAATTAAAAAATAAATAAATACTGTTTGAATTATGTGGTTCAATTTACACTTGATAGAAAAACAAATAGTTATTCACCGCAAGGCATTCAGTATTCAATAATCAGTGGTTTATCCAATGGCATAGTCACAAACAGAATGATAGGATATCAAAATTTATAAATACAAAATACCTAAATTTAACATAGACAGGAGCCATGTAATAAGTAGAGAAATCTAAAGCTCATTCTTTTGAAAGTAGATACTATAGTGTGAGTGTATGTGTAAATATGTAAATCTTAGATATAAAACACTAATTTAAATGTGAATTTCAAGAAAGCAGGATTTTCTGAGTAGAAAATTTCTAGTTGCAATCTTTGGTATTTATTTTTATTTTGGGGTGAATATGATTTGGGGGATAAGAACCAAAAATTATATGTAGAAAAGTTCTGAAGACTCCCATGACTTCCTTCATCCTCATGTTGCTTTCATGATAGACCATGTGATTATTGTTGCATATATTGGTAGATAGAGACAAATTGATTCTTCCCCATAGTCTTTTCCAGTTCTCAAGATCAAGAGTACTACCTACTGATGATATTTTTCTATATTATTCCAAAAGAGAGAGTTGAAGTATTCTGCTCATTAATAGAACAAAAATGAGAAAACTGAAGTGACTCAGTTGACTTTTTAAAATATAGACCTAATTGGACTCTCCCTTAACTACCTTATAGGAACTGGGCACCAAAATAGGGACTGTTTAGCAATAAATCCAAACGTGTCTCTGTCCACAATGCCATCCTCTCCTATTGCTAAAAACTTATTTGCATTTTTCCATTTTTTATCTGCTTTCCTACTTTGACCAAAAGATTCTGGATCCTACTGACAAAGAATAAACTTTTTTTAAAAAGACACTTATGTGATGTAGTAAAAAAGAATATAACTTTTTTAACTGAACTTTAAAGCCCATGTTCTTTCTACTCTGTGGTGGTTCTGCAGACCTACTCTATCATATATCTCGCTTCTTTTAGAACCATGCAAAATTCATCTGATTCCATCATGCTCTTTCCAACCAACTCCACTCACATAGATTAATATGTCCATTTCCAAGAAAGAAAAAAGTTAATATCAGACATATTTATTGACTTATATAATTGTTGATTTTCCCTTATTCAATGTGTAAGAAATGTTTACCTTTGATTTATAAATTTTCAGAATCAAATAGACTTAATTATGCTTTGAAAGATTTTTCAGTGTTCACTATCAAGAAATCAGACATAGCCTAATGTTTCAAATGATATTTTTGTGGTCCTCATAAAGTGCTTCCTGTACTATCTATGTCTCTAGTCAGCTTATATACCTGCACTTGCTTTTTCCTGGTTATAAAAGCAACTTGTTTTCATATGGCATTTAGTTACTTGTATGTAATTATCATTCCAAAAGTGGTAGGAGTTAACCAATAGTGCATTTTAGGGAAGGTAAAAGTTATTTTGATTATAAAAATTATAATGAAAAAAAGTCTTACCAGGCAGATATATAAAAACAGTGTCTTCTGGTGGGTATGGTGCTGCCAGCAGGTCAATCTGTACCTGTGAGGCGAGTGCATCACCAACAGATGATGTGATGGTACCGTCAGACTTTCAGATACCCCAAAATTGCGGCTGTGCCTTTGGCCAGACCCCAAAAACTTGGAGCAAAGTTTACCAAGAAAGTAAATGGCCAAAAGTTAGGTATGTGGGAGACACACCCATAAACCACCTCCGGCTCAGCTATATAATTGGAGGCATGGCCTTTCTGGTTCCTGATCGAACTGCTTAACGGCCATGATCCCAGAGACTCAGAAATGAATCTCGAAACCCAAAGGCTTTTGGCAGAAATGCATCCTGTTCCTGCAGTAGGTTACTGGCACTGGGTCACTCCAGGTGGAAATAGGTTTCATGCCTTGGAGTGTTGCCCCTGGCAGCCCGGTAACTGCCATCC